CGAGCCGTTCGCGAACAAAGAGTCATTTTGACAATCCTAATCACATAGCCATCAGATGTTAAGGATTGGGGCAAGATTTAAAACATCATTTGAATCTAATTTAATAATTTTTATTCTATTTCCTTCATTAATACTTTTAATTGACTATAAATCTTTGTAGCCTTGTATTCAATTAAATTTTAAAAAAAAGACTACTCATCAAAGATATATATATAATTGATTAGTAGTATTTCGAGCCAAAATGAACCGAACACGAATGAACAAATATTTGTTCTTGTTGTTCGTGTTCAACTCGTTAACTTAGCGAACGAGCTGAACACGAGCTTCTTAACAAGCCGAACACGAGCTGTTCAAGAACAACGAGCCGTTTTGACAGCCCTAGTGTCTACTGATTCTTTTCCTCCATTGTGTCCTATATTGAATAACTTAATCAGATGGAATCCTCTAAATGAATAAAAATGTTAATTATATATTGTAAATAATGCTATGAAATGACAATACTCTTAACTCACGTATGTGTTAACTAAACGCAATTAAAAAACATATAAAACCTAGTGAGCTCAAATTGTTTGTCATCCAGTTGCCCATGTTGATCTATGCTTATGTAGCGCCGCCCTTCCAAAGCAGTTATAGATTATTAGTGTCCCTTCGGAACTTAAACTTTTACCATCATTTTTTTTGCATTTGATTCCATCTTTTGTTCACATTTGACTCAAAATGCATGGATAAATCAGTAGGCATTGCTTCAACCACATACGCTTTGAAAATTTTCACTTCGTATTTTACTTTGTTTTGTACTTGAAGTGGTTGATAATAAGTTGAAGGAATAAGGTTTATATTATTTAAATTGAGTAATGTTTTTCAAAAGGATACATCCTTCGATACTATTCTTTTTCATGCCTCATAGGCTTGGTGAATTGGCAAGTATTCTACGGAATTAAAGGTGGAGGAAAATATTTGTCAAATTTTCTGACAATTTCCAATTGGGTCACCTCTAGTGTCACGGTAGAAATGATGCCTCAATTAATATTGTCTAAATTGGCTTCGGAAGTTAAGTTGCAAAAAAGTATGGACAATAATATTTGCCTAAAAGCATGACATCGTTGTCTCTTTATTCCATAAAATTTATAGTCCTATAAATTTATAAGCTTAGTGAAATTTGATGCATAACCATTTAAGGAATTTAAACCTTTAATTTAGGCTCACATTTTTTTTAATAGTGACGTCGATCAACTAAGTCCAAATCTTTTGAACAGTAATTCCAATTCAAATTTGACCTTCATATTATCTTTAGTTATATGCCTTACATCCAGTATTCTATTGACCACATTCTTGTTTACATTTCTTTCAATATGCATCACATCAATGTTATGTCGACTAAAATTATGAAAACAATAGGGAAAGCCTCAAAATATGCTCTTGTTTGTCTAATTGTTCTTACTAGAATGAAGAATCTTCTGTTTGACACTTTTTTTTCCATATTGGATCTGAGCTAATGAATATAATCTTCAAAATTCTCATCTTGAGAGTCAAAAAGGATGATGCTCAAAAGTACTTACACATTTTTTAATTTAATTTATTGTTTTTTATACTATTAGTTGATTGAATTAAATTGCTTGAGACAACTAAAAAACCGAATTTTGTCACTAATCTGAAAATAGTGTTTCACTACCCTCCACACAACAGGACATGCCATTCTCTCACGAGTGCTCCACCCACTCGACATACACAGGCAGGAAAATTACTAATCGTCCGCATAGCGAGCCCTCATTTGAAATTTCAGCTTCTTAATTTTATCACAACGATCCCATTAAATATGATTTTGAGCGTGTCAATCAATGGCTGAAAAAGGGCATCTAAAATTTTTGGTGGACCTTTTAGATTTGGAATGATTAATGCTAAAAAATTAATAATTGTGTTTTGTATATTCCTGGTGGTAAATTGTATACCACCATATGTACTGCTCAAAATGTGTATGGAACATTGGATTGATTAAAAGGATTAAATCCATCTGCATGCATACTAACAAAAAATTTTACACCTCTAAAGTAAATGCTATGCGTTTATTATCAATTTGTGTTTAAGCTTTTCCATCCGTGGATGTTTTAGCGCCTTCTCAGGATTTTTTAGAGTGCCAAATCTTGTGATAAACATGCTTCTATGACATGTATAACCATTGAATCATTTGATTTGATTGCATTAACGAAGTAGATTATATAGAAAATTCGTGCGTTTATCACCATGAAGCTTTTTTTTTGGCTTGTAATTAGAGTGGACACACTTATTACATTATGGTAAGTGAATGTTTTTAGACAATTTCTACATCACTTTTTAGTTTGATACGCATCACCGCAACTTTTCTATCTTCTTTTATCAAAAGATTTAACAAGAGAGATTGTAGGGATCATGACAAATGTTATAGATGTCGAATTCCGTATAGTCATTGATTGCGTGACGGATAATAGCTTTGAATGCCTCCTACTGCTCTTCAATAAAGTGTCATTAGTATCTGCTAATAGGCCATAGAAGTTTGCAGTTTCTACATCTAGGGCTTCTTCAATTTCATAGTTATCTATAACAATCTAATATTCAAAATCTTATGGATCAGTTACATCTTCGCCATATTATTATAAGAATTATGTTCAAATACATTTCTTGATGCCGACTCAAAGTAAGAGTGGCTGCCTCTCAATGATTCGTGTTGGGCATAACATATTAAGTAGCTTTTCGTGAATCTTTTTTGGTGTAGATTATGCAGGCTGTGATGTCATTAAATGTATTAAAAGAACGGGAAAAGAAGTGGGATGAGTTGGGCCTTTGATCTAAACAAAGGAAGGCTTGATTGCAATAAATTATCTAAAGATATCCATGGTTGGGCAATTCATTAAGGCTGTTTGATGTCAGAATGATCTTTTATTGACAGTTATGGACAATGTGAAAAATTTTACCATCTTGATTTCTTTTTATTACCAATTTCTGTACTTAAAACTAAAATTGGCCAACTTTCCTGTTAGAATTCAAATATAATGCACAGTAATTGGTCTTTCATTTTGTTTGAGATGCAGATCAAGATAGACTGGATTACGACACGAAGACATTGCAGAGTTATGTGAAAGAGAAATCCTTGATCTTATCTGAAAGAGGAGCTCTTGCAGATGCGATTAATCCAGGCATTCTCAAGTCCCTGGTCACGTTAAAAGATGAGCGTAAATGAACAAATGTGGCAATGGTGCGCACCTATCTCTTGCCCTTTGTCTTATAGAATCTCAATATTGGCTTGTTGTATTTCTTTTCTGTAAATTTACCTTGAAAAATGTAACGGCTATCTGGAGTTCGAGATGATAGTTTAAATCAGAAGGCAATGAACAATTAACTGATTGAACATAGTTGAACTTTTTGTGAGTATTTTTTTCGTTGATGTCTGCATCCCGAAAATATTTCACTATAAGCCACAAGTGAGAAAGATTACATTTCATTTAATTTTCAAAAAATTGGTATTTACTAGTTTATACCTTGCATCAATTGCGTACAAATATGGTCGTCAAGTAATTTAACAAATCCTTAGAGTTGTATTTTAAGTTATCCAAGAAAAAATTCAGTTGAAGTTGCGTAATTCACTTCGGCATAAAATAGAAGTGGTTGAGGGATGATTTACATGGTGTTGAATTTAGTAATTGAAGTTTGAAAGTCTATACAATTAGGAGTGTAAACGAGCCGAACACGAGCGAGCCATGCTAAGCTTTGTAGTTAATTATTTCAAGCTCAAAAAGGGTGTAACGAGCCGAACACGAGCTGTTCGCGAATAAAGAGTCCTTTTAACAACCCTAATCATGTAGTCATAAGACATAAGACAATAAGGATTTGAGCAAGATTTAAAAATTATTAATTATACTTGAATGTTTATATTATTGTTTTTCCATTGCAAATTATAAAAAAAAGTAATGCTTTCCAAAATGTTGAACCAAGCAACCCACTTTTAAGAGTTAAAGAGAACACACAACAGGATATTATAGTTAGGGTTGTCAAAATAGCTTGTTGTTTGCGTACAGCTCGTGTTCGTAGTATTTCGAGTCAAAATGAGCCGAACACAAACAAACAAACATTCCATTAAGTTGTTTGACGTTAACTTATTGAACGAAATTAACGAGCCGAACACGAGCTTCTTAACGAGTCGAACACGAGCTGTTTGCGAACAACGAGCCGTTTTGACAGCCCTATATACAACACATAGGATAAGTTATCAATGACTTTGTTGATTGTAGTTGGTAACATTACTTTTAAATAAAACATGTGTTTTAGTTCTTTTTAACTCGGAGTTATCACTTTGTCTAATTTTCATTTTTATTTGTTTCTTTTCCAAATAATCATCTTTTTTGGACCATTGAAATAATTCAGAGGAGAAGAATCAGAAAGAGAAAATATGACGAAGCTATCAAAAAAAAAAGAAAAAAGAAAGAATATATAGAATTTATATAAGGTAATTTTCGTGTGATAGAGTAAAAGCAAATGTCCAAAATGGAATTAAGTCAAAATATTTTGAAAATATATTGACGAAGAAAATCCTTCTCTTACATCTCTATATGAGGAAGAGAGAATTTTGAAAAAAACAGGAACTCAAATCAAACTAATAAAAATGACTAAGTCAAAAGGGGGAAGTAATTTATAAAATGAAAATAAAATTTGAATACTAAACATGACTCATAGGGATCTCGATGGCTCTTATATGTGCTCAAATGCAACAACAAGCAATTCGACAGCCTTCTTGTAAAAACAGATTTAACTTCTTTATGCAAACAACCCATGAATTTTAAAATTTTGAAGCAAATACAATTAAACGATGAATATGGGGCCTAATCTTGATAAGTAATAATTATATATATA